CACGCTCCCTCACGCTCCCTCACGCTCCCTCGCCGTCTCCGGTCGTTCCTAAAGTCCTCCTGTTTCTCGTGGTGGTCGGGCTAGCCGGTGCCAGTTCAGACCCCTCTGTGCGCCATCCCCGTGGATCCCTTCGTACGCTAGAGTCAGTGTCAGCCGCGGCTTTTGCCTCAAAGCCCTGTCCCCCGTGGGCGTGCGAGCTCTCCTCGTGTCGCAGAAGCGTCCTGCAGGGCTGTCGGCAGAGGTGGCGCGTCACGGCGCGGGTGTCTAGCGGGGTGCAGCGTTTTCTGATCGATGAGCCTTGCAGGCAAGAGTTGTAAGTAGAGATACTGCTGTCTTCTGGTAAGCCTGGTGGTTTGGCTGGAAAAAGCGGGGAAAGCTGTTTTGGTTCGTCTTTTGCCATGTTTGCAGGTGGTCTTGCGGAACTAACTTGGAGGTGGAGCGTCACCGAGTAGCTGTGGGGAGGGGGATCGCGGGGTTTCCATTGTTTGGGCGCTGTTGGGGTGTGTCGGGTTGTTCCAAAGGTGGAGCCCGGTGATGAAACGGTGCCAGTGCACGGGCGGCAAAAGAAGCATTTGGAGCAGCGCAGGATTTTCAGGCTACGTCTGACCGGACTCTGATGTACGGGCGTAATGGTGCGTGTGGCCCCGGCCGGCGGTGCTCAGCCCTGCTCAGCGCCTGCGGCTGGGTGTCCGGACAGCTTGCAGTGGAACTTGGAGGAAGTTTTTTCATTTGAAGTTTGGTTGTTGGTTTGTTTCTTTTTTTTAAATCCAGAGCTGACGTCTCTAGTGTGACCGAGGGAATGCATTGGTGAGAAACTTCCAGAGTGTTTTTGTTAGGAGTTATTTCCCAGATCAAGTGAGGTATGAGTTGTTGCTTTTTCAAGTTTACTCCCTTGGCATTGTTTTCTTTGCCCTTTGTAAGGTAGTTTTAACTGATCCGTGTTAGCGTGTTTACTGCTTCCTGTATTTGCTGCAAACCTAGAAACGTTTACTGGAGAGTCAACGTGAGATTGAAACCAAAAAAGGCTCTTTTAGGCCTAAAGGTGCCATTTTGACAGAAAAGGGGTAAACCAAGAGACTTGCAATGAATAGTGTAGCACCTATAGCTAGGCCTTAAAATTCCTCTTTTACACGCTTTTGTCAACCCAGAGCTTGCTTAATTTCTGTGACGTTGCGGCTGTTTGTTCCTGATTCTGAGCTGTCAGCTCCTACGGGAGTATCGGGGGGACCTGCTGGGACAGGGCCCGGTGCGGGGAGGTGAAAGCGGGAGGCGAGTCGTGGGGCACACAAGCGCTGAGCAGCCGCGGCCTCTGCCGATGAGCTCAGGATCTGCCCGGCAGGGGAGCGCTGCGCCTGCAGAACGAGGCCCGCCTGGGCCTCTGTCCCGTGCCCTGCCCTCAGACTCCCGTACCGAACGGCTCAGCTCCCTGCAGGTCGCGTCCCTGGTGGCGGAGCCTCCAGCGCCTGTCTCGGCTTTGAGCCCTTTGCAGTGCGGAGGTTTCACCTGGGAAGCCCAGGGCCTTTGACGGGAGCGGTGCTTCGCTGTGGTGGGAGGCGTGGCGGGCCGTGGAGAACGCAGTGCTCGGACTTTTTTGGTAATTTCAGGCTTTCTCAGTAGCTGTAGACTTTCTCGGTAGCTTTGGAGAGGGATGTGGAACCCTGCTGTGTGGGGGGCAGGAGATTGCTGCCCACAGTTTGTCGTGAGAGCCTCTGTGACACCAGTGGTATAATTTAGGCAATTTTCCTTGTTACACAAAGAATTACACAAAGCTGTGATCTGAAGTTTGGCTCGTACTTTCCTCAGATGGTCTTTAGCTTCTTCCCCCCCCGCCTTCGCTCTGCCTCCAGTCGCCCTCACCTCCCCGGTGTTCTGTGTATGCCCTCCCCGTGGTTTCCAGCACTACCTGTAACTTCCAGGAGAGACGTAGAAGCGGTTTTGCACTTTCAAAAAGCATTTCTGAAAGTCGTTATACCACTTCCCTGCTTAGAAGACAAAATATTTTGAAGGAACGTGATTTTTTGCAGGACTAACCTTTCTACTGAAGGTCGCACATCTCGTGACTGTGCTTGGCCCATCTTTTCCAAGCATTACTGGTAGCCTTTTTTGGTCTTTGGGTAACTTTTTTAATCTAGGAGTCGTGAATGAATGATCAGCCAGTGCAGCAAGAAGGAGCCGCGATCAGGGTTACGGAATAAATCTCAAATCTAGATTTTCAGTAACTGTTGGCTGCGTGCACTAGGAGTGAATTTGGTTAATCACAGTAAACTATTACTTCTTTTTCCTGACTCTGCCTCTTGTGCTTGTGCTGATGGAGTGTATTTAGATGCTCCTCATTAAAATAATTTCATCTCATGCATTATTCATGGGTTTTACATTTTTATCTCATATTTTATTTATACAAATGTAAATGAGCTTTTTTCAAACGTTAGAAAATAGTAAAAATTAGGCTGTGAACTTGAGTTCGCTGTTTTTAGCTGGACACGTGACTTTGCGAGTCAGGAAAGGCGCTTGATGAGTCCCGGGTTGTGCAGAACTGTCATTAACACCCGCAGAACGAGCAGGGGACAGGGTGACGGCAGAGGTGGAA